ATTAAAATTAATATTTATTATAAAGAATCGGCTAATAAGAAAAGCTATAAAGCTAGAGATAGAATTATTAAAGAATTTACTAGTCGATAATATTAAAGTCTCTCTAGCTCTAGATTATTAGTTATTTTATAATCGCTAATTATTTATAATAATTCTAGTCTTTTTATTAATATTAATTAATAATAGTACGAGATTCTTATAAGCTTTAAGTATATCGAAGATAAATATATTAGTTAGAAACTTATAAGTATTATTAATTTAATTCTTATAGAATATAAGATTTAATCTTATATACTTAGATTTATAACTAATAACGCTAGCAATAATAACACACTCTTCGACGATTTAATTATTTATCTTTTTATTTCCGCAGTAAATAACCCGCTTAATATTAAAGAATTTAAATTCTTAAATTATTTATAATATATTTCTTATATAGCGTATATTATTTAATTAGCCTTAAAAGAACTTTTAGATAATATTAGAATTACTTTAATAAACGAGAAATTTTAGAGAAGTTAGAGTGATAAAGAAAATAAGAATTAAGTTCGGGTAAGTACGGTTAGCCTATCGATGACTCTAATAAAAATATAATATTTCTTATTATTATTCTAGTTATTATATTATTAATTATATTAAAGTTCGAAAAACCGCTATATATATTAATGCTAGCGACTAGCGTAAAAAGGTTTTTTTATATTATAAATTAAACGGCTTTAAGATAAGAATATTTTAATATTAGATAAATATTAATCTTCTAAAAAGAAGCAATATCATTAAAGACGCTCTCTTAAGCTCTTTTAGAATATTAAAACTCGCTAAAATTCAATTTATTAGATATTAATCCGCGCTCTACTTCTTTATATCGATATTATACACTTTTTAAAGAATAGATTAATTATCTACTTAAGATTAAGTGATAAAAAATAATTATAAATAGAAACTATAGTCTAGACGTCTAAATAATTTTCGATTGATTTCTAATAAATTTAATATTTAATTCAGCTTATTAGGTTTTTTTATAAGTTTATAAAGTTAATAAGTAGAGAAAAGAAGGCTATAATTTATTACGTCTTTAATATCTATAATTATCTATTTAACTATATAGATAAAAAGCTCGGAAAATTAAGAAGAAAGAGAGTTTCTTAAAAAAAGAACTTCTTAAAGCTCTTAAGACGGCTCGCGAGAAATTAGCTATCTATTATAGTCGAACTTAATTAGATTTAAGCTATCTATATAAATAAGCTACGCTTTTATATTTAAATTATAATAATATAAAATTAAAGAGATTAAATTAAAAGGTTAATACTAGAGAGAAGCTATAGGCGAAGATCTACTAAGAAGCGCTTAAAAAGATATTTTAAAATTATTAAAATATTAATATAAGTAGTTAATTGCAAAGAGCTAAGCGAATAAGTCGACTAAATAAAGATATACTCGATTAAGTAATAAAATTTGAGATTAAGAATTTAGATAATAAGGATAGATATAATTAGCTTCAGTAATATAGAAGAAATAATAAGTCTTCTAATTATTATTCTAGTTATAATCTTACTTCTAACCTTTATAAAGCTTCTTTTAATAATTTAGCGAATCTCTTAATTCTAAAGTAATAAAAGAAATTAAAGCTTAAATACGCTGTAATCGCTCGAATAGCTTATAATATTCTTTATTCTTTCGCGGGGGGCTATTGCGTATAAGCGGTGCTTCTTAATAACTAAAAGATATTATAGTGCTTAGAAGTATTATTTATCAACGATATTTCGTATTTTAATAATAGTTCTTTATATGAAGTATCGAGAAAATAAGCTTAAATAGATTAGACTTAATCTTAAAGAAGATCTTAGTATATTAGATTAAACTAAAAGAGCTAATAGTACTTTATATAAAAACTTAATTAATATTCGTAATAATTATATTAGCGAAGATAACGAGCTTACGAAAAGTATTTCGATAAGTTTAATATTTATAAATTTATTAAGATATATTATTAATACTCTATAATATATAGAGAGATAATCGATAGGCTTATAGTTAGAGAGAGTTAATAATAATAAATCTAATCTTAAAAAAGAGGTTTAAGATAATTTGAGAAGCGAATTTATTTATAAATAGTTAATAAGTTTAATTAAATAGAGATAGACTTAAAGTATTTAATAGAATCGAGATAAAGTAGAATAGAAGAGTAAGTTAGAGTTTAAGAGAAAGATAAATATAAAGTCTATTAAGCTTATCTAACGCGTTAAGATAAATATATAAATAAAGATAATTATAGAATTTTATTCTTATAATATTTAAAGATTTAAAATTTAAAATATTCTTTTATATTATAATTTTAAGAAGAAGAATAAAGACGCTTATAGTTCTAATTATTATTCTAATTATCAATATTAATAAAAAGATAAATAGCTATATTAAATTACTCTTTATATTCCCTCTCTCTCAATAAAGAAGAATAAATATATTCTATATATCTCAATCGGATTATTCTATAAATATAGAAATCTCAGTGGGGATATCTTATATATATATCATTTCATAATATAATCTCATAGATATATTATATCGTAGAATATCTCACTAAGATTCCAAACCCATACCAGAAAAATGGTATGGTATCCGACCCTACCCATACCATACCCGGGTACGATATGATATTACTTGATATGGAATATTCCATGAAATATACCATACCTTTCCGACCAGTAACTCTATTATCGTTTTTAAATTCTAAGTAAGTCTCTTAATATTATAAGCGTATTCTTAATATATTAATTAAGTCTATAGTCTACTATCTTAATAAAGATATCTTCTACTATATTATCTCTTCTTTTTATTTATTTATATAATTCGATAGTCTTATTATTCTATTTTATCTTATTTATATTAATATTAATATTATATTAATTCTAATACTTAACTATTAATTAAATTTAAATTAATTATCTAAAATACGAGTAATTAAAATTCTACGAGATTTAAATTTATTTTAAAGAAAGATTATTACGATTTACGAATCTAAAATTATTACGAATTTAAAATTATTAAAATTATTATTAATATTAAAAGTATTAATATATTTAAATTAACGTAGAAATATAAAGAATATTATAAAGAATTTAATATAGATTAGAGTATTAACTAGATATAAATATAATCGTAAGACTCTTATTATTTATTTAATAGTAGTTGATAGAGATTGCCTAGTCAATAATACTAGTAAGCCTTGGCCATGATAGACACTAGGCTCTACATCAGTCATACATAGCAGTCATCCTTCTACCTCTGGGACGTACATCATTGGTTCTCTGGGACGTACATCATTGGTTCCTCTTATTTCCGGGATGGCGGTGTGCGGACTTTTTTGCTACGCGGTTGCTCGGCTTCCGGGCGAAGCCGAAGTGTGGCCAAGACTCTTGGCATACGTAGGCTTGGCATAGAAGCTTAATAAGAGGGCGATGCCCCCGTTTTCCTTTCTGCTTCCGTAAGAATTTGTTTTACTACAAGATCCATATACGAATATTTATTTATCTACTACTAGGTCCACATTACTACATAACTCTAGACCTACTTATACTTGATCATTTAAGTCTGTCTAACACGTCACTTCCTCTTTCCCATTGCGACCCGATCGGCCTTCGCTATGGAACACACATATATGATGGACAAAATTCGCGGGGTTGAGGAGATCATTGGCTATCAATTTAGCGATCCTTGGACGATATGGGAAGCGCTTCAAGCCGCCGGGTCGCCGGTCCAGACTATAGGCAATCGAAGACTCGTTGGTGGGAACAGACGTCTCGCGGTGCTGGGCGACCGGGTGCTTGACCTTGCGATCGCAGAAGCGTGGCACGAGGGGATGGAAGCTCGGGGTAACAAAAATACATGACGAAGGATCGCCTGAGGTCACGAGCTGACTTTATTTCAGTTCGATTTGACCAGATCCGACAGGCAGTTGGGGGTAACCTCAACTTGGATAGAATTGGCCGTGTGACTGGTCTGGTGGCATTCGTCAATCAAAACCCTTCGACGCTGGGCGTCGTGTCTCCGGTCACAATGTCTGCCACTGTTGAGGCTGTTCTAGGAGCGGTGTATTTGGACAGCGACATGAATACTGTCAAACGTGTGATGAACACGTTGGGATTGGTGCCAACTTGAAGGGTGGGCCCCAAGCGCAAGCCAGTAACGTATCCCCTTTCTCCCCCACCCCACCTCTGGTGAAACGCTATGCGAGTTAATGTGACTTTGTAAATATAGCCTTTGCATGGGGGATCCTCGGAGCTTCCGCATCGCGGTCCTCTCGCTGGTTGCGATGATTGAAACCGCGTTCTTCTCCATTTCAGGGTCTCTACTGCGGATAGAATGAGCAGTCGAATCCGCAGTGGGCAACCCTTTTCTGGGAAGAGCTCGGATAGCAGCGTCGGAGCCCAGCGGAAGGACGGCGTTGAGGCGGATCCAAGGAACCCCCATGCCGCAGGATGTTTTGCCTGAGCCACAATAAGATCGGTTGCCAGAAGAATTTGACCGGGTGATACGGCTTCTAATTGCTTGCAATAGATGCCACTACCCTTGATGATGGACAAAAGCGCTTGTGATTTTCTTTATTCCTCGCGAGAGCATCTGGTTGCTGGGACTCGCAAACACGGTCGATGTTCTTGATTTCTGCGACGACCTCTTCAACAGAGGTCCGAATTTTGCTTTACCCGCATGTAATCAGTATCTCTTCAACAGAGATCTGATCTGATCCTGTTTCGTCATGTACCCAATCAATAGATCCTCAGTTACACAGACAAATAACAGAAATAGCGTGACTTAAATGAACGTCCTCGAATCCCCCATTGCAAGATTTCTGGGCAAATTGCACCCGCTACGGAGGGCCACCAACCCTTGTAGCCGTACAACACCTTGGTGTTGACACGACCCGTTCCCGAGCGTCGCCATGTCATGCTCTTGCACCACCACCCAATCTCGAAACTTTGGCCGTTAGTGTCGATCGAAGTCTACCCTTGAGTCTCAGCTTCGACTGTGAACTCATCTGACGACCAAAAACCGGCAAAATCTTTGTGTAAAAACACTCTATACTCTACCGATACCAGCGCTTGGCCAGGGAAAATAGTATTGTTCGGCATCGGCGGCCGTTGTCCCATAATTTCGATGATGAAACGCAAGGCTTTGTGAACCAGACGGCTCTTCTCTTGCACATGGTCGAGGCCCTTGAGGTCGACCACGGCTAATATCATGCCAGGCAGCTCTACCCGCCTTCTGCGCGAAAAGCGAAATCCGGAGCCGTGGTAGGCATCGAAATCTCGAGTCCCAATGCGGAAGGTCTGCGTCGAAGCACCGATGAGACTTTTGATTGCAGGAATAGATGCATCGAGGGTGGGAATGCTTGCGAAGCCAACCCAGAAGTCAAACTCGATTGTCTTGATCGCGGGTGCCAGTCCAAGCAGTCGACCAACCCAGTCATTTCTGGCTAGTTCCAACGGCGCGGCCGCGACGTGTTTGATCAAATGACGAGAGGTTTTGGGGAGTAGGGACGGGTCATGAATTTTGGGCAGCCCGACAAGACGGCGGAGGAATTGGTGATTGATGTTAAGATGATCGGCAATCTGCGTAGTACCGAGGAAGAGAAAGGTGTTCTCCCCGTACAGAACGGGATAGGCTTCGGCGGAGATGGAGCGATTGACGGCGAGGATGGCGGGATAGAGCTTGGGAGTGGAATAGCTTCGGCCACCCACTGCCTTTTCAAAATGACAGTACTGGGGCTTTCCGTCGAGCAGTAGGCTGTATATCTGGAGTCGGAGCTCGAAGGGCAGAGACTCGAATCTTGACCTGGGTGGAATGGCGGGGCGAAGAGGCAAGGTCTCTGTCGTTGGGATCCGATTATGGATCCGCTGTAGCGCAAGCATACTTTTATGCTTTAGTCTCTGGTGGTTTGTTCATACAGGGTATTGGTCGTAAACAGGCGAGCAAACATCTTCCACCGACTACCTTATGACTCTCCCAATGTTCGCAGCCTTTACTAACTGCTAAGACCGCTAAGGTATAGGTACCTTAGTAGATGCACAGTCAGCCTGAGGGAAGCCCCGGCAACCAATCGGTCAATACTTTCGTGTCTTGCATTTTGCGTATCTGCGAAAGCTTCACATCCAATCTTGACCCCCACACCACCTGCATAATTCTACAGACTCTTGAACAATGTAGATATCAAAGAGTGTGTGTGCAAGAGAATTGATGTTCGATTCTTGTGACTCCTTTTTTCTTCGATTCTCACAACCGCTCGGAATATCGACAAATCTTCAGTCACTTTGCAGATTCCGACAGCGTTAGTATCGCACAAAATCAGAATACCAGCTTCTATATACACTCTTTTTTGACACATGCATTATGCATCATTCTATGCATCTGTACAGGTGGCGTGGTGGGGCTCGGGGTCCGGGAACCCGATTGCACCGAAGGCGCGAGAAAGTCACAAAACTTATCTTCTATCAATACTCGTATGTAACTCGATAACGGAGGCCACGATCACACAAGTTTCAGTACGTTAACTTCTTTAGTCGACTGGGCTAAAAATGATATCTTATACAAAACAGAAACGCACCTTGCGCCGTCGAAGAATTATCCGACGTGGAAAATCCGCCTCGGTGAATGCCAAGCTTTTGCAAGGGTCGTATGTAAGATTAGACTTAGAGTACGCTAAATGGGCCAGCTTACCTAATAAACGCGCCTGCCGAGGTGCGCTAAGAGTCTAGATTCTACTTACTCTGTACTTACTTTACTTTAGAAGAGCCGTCAAGCCTCCACCACCCAACAAAGTAACCACCTGGATGCGGCAGGAGAGAGCGCAAAAGAGCGGTCAAAAAACTGAGATGGATCACATGATGATTATTCATGTAACTCTCTCTTCCTTCGATCGACCATGGCTGATCGATAGACTCTGTGCTGTGACGGGCGGGCAAGGCCTAGCCTTGTTTTAAAGAGAGAAAGGAACCATTGTTTGCAGCTATGTTTGCAGCCACTCTCACCACATTGACCTGCGCGCGTGGGGTAGGTATTGACTTGTCTTGAATACCTACCTTAACCTCCAACATTCTTCTCATCGGACATCTGCTCTCTTACATTCTTCTCTCCTGTCGCTGCGCTCATTGCATCTCACTGCCCCACTAACACCACCACCGAAGCCTGCGGTCGCCATGGTCGTCAGAGCCCCCGGCCAAGGAGGCATCCTCCAGGGATCCAATCCCTCCACTTACGATCCTAAGAATCCCATTTACGTCTTCATCATCCAGGTATGTCTCTCCATTGATCTGCCGGCGGACCCGATACTGACCCATCGTCGTTCTAGGCTGGCATTATCCTCATTTTCACCCGACTCCTCCACCTACCTCTTTCCAAGATCAGACAGCCAAGGGTCATCGCAGAGGTCATAGGCGGCATACTACTCGGTCCCTCTGTCCTCGGCCGTGCCCCGGGTTTCACCAATGCAATCTTCCCCGCAGCTTCCATGCCCACACTCTCAACGGCGGCCAACGTTGGTCTGATCCTCTTCCTCTTCCTTGTAGGACTCGAGGTGGACTTGCGGCTACTGGTCAGGAATTGGAGGATAGCGCTCAGTGTTGGAGCTGCCGGTATGGCTCTCCCATTCGGGCTGGGATGTGCAATTGCATACGGACTCTACCATCAATTCCGCGATGATAAGGGTCTCGTGCCCATCAGCCTCGGGACATACTTGCTCTTTATCGGTGTTGCCATGGCCATCACGGTAGGCCTATATCATCCTGGCTGTTCGCGAATGCTAAGCACATGCAGGCTTTCCCAGTACTCTGCAGAATCCTGACCGAGCTGAAGCTACTTCAGACCCAAGTTGGTGTTGTCGTCTTATCCGCAGGCGTCGCAAATGATGTGGTTGGCTGGATCCTGCTAGCTTTGTGCGTCGCCATTGTCAACGCTGGATCCGGAATCACGGCTCTATACGTTCTCCTCACATGCGTCGCCTATGTGCTTTTCCTTGTTTACGCCATTCGCCCAGCTTTCCTGTGGCTCTTGAGGCGCAGTGGTAGCATTCACAACGGCCCCACTCAATCCGTGGTGGCTCTGACTGTGCTGATGGTCTTCGCCTCAGCTTTCTTCACGGGCATCATTGGAGTCCACCCAATCTTTGGAGCTTTCCTGATGGGGTTGATCTGTCCCCACGAAGGAGGATTTGCCATCAAGCTCACAGAGAAGCTTGAGGACCTGGTCACCGTATTCTTCCTCCCACTTTACTTCGCACTCTCGGGTTTGAGTACCAACCTCGGCCTCCTCGACAATGGAATTACTTGGGCGTATGTCGTCGGAGTCATCGCGGTGGCATTCATCGCAAAGGTTGCCGGTGGTACCCTTGCTGCGAAAGCCAACAAGCTTGTGTGGAGGGAGAGCTTCACTATTGGTGTTCTGATGAGTTGCAAAGGCTTGGTAGAGCTGATCGTATTGGTGAGCCTTACGGATCCCCTCTCCCCTGCAGGGATACTGACTGGTTCAGAACATCGGTCTCCAAGCAAAGATCCTGAGTCAGCGTACCTTTACCATCTTCGTCGTCATGGCTTTGGTCACCACCTTTGCCACAACACCCATAACACTCGCGCTCTTCCCACCCTCGTACCAGAAGAAACTCGCTGCTTGGAAGCGAGGTGATATCAACTGGGACGGGAGCCGACTTGATTCGGAAGACGCTGCAGGCAGCTTTGGGGGGTCTGTGGCGGGCAAACCGCAGATCACAGAATGTCGAAGGCTTCTCGTCTGCCTCCGACTTGACAGTTTGCCCAGTATATTCACCTTCGTTGCTCTCTTGGGCGGTGAGAGGTCTAATACTGCGGTTGCTAAGGTTCACCCTCGCAAGGATGGCAAAGTCGCAGGAACCGAGACAGATAGGCAATCCTCAGGCCCGCAGCGACCCCTCGAAGTGCATGGACTTCGAATGCTAGAGCTCACGGAACGTCTCTCGTCTGTGATGAAAGAGTCCGAAGCAGACGACTGGTCGAATCGAGATCCCGTGGTGAACGCTTTTCACACCTTTGGCCAGCTCAACAATGTTGCTGTTTCCGGAGAAGTACAATTCGCACCTGAAACACAGTACGCCGCCATGCTGGGTGAACGGGCAACGGACACTACATCTGATATGGTCTTACTTCCTTGGAGCGAGAGTGGTAGCCTTTCCGAAATCGCCACGGCGTCTTTTGGTGAAGGGACTCATGGTACTTTCAGCAATGCGTCATATAATTCCTTTGTCTATGACTTCTTCCAAAGCGCACCATGCAACGCAGCGGTGTTCATCAACAACGGCTTTGGTGCGATCCCACGCGAAGAGCCGCGGTCATTGACCCGCGTTGCTACCGACCTCAGCTTGCGAAGCAATGGGTTACATACGACGGCACCGCTCCGAGATCTCAGTCATCACATCTTCTTCCCCTATGTCGGATCAGTGGATGACCGGGTCGCCCTGCGCTTCGTTCTGCGACTGGCCCGGAACCCGAATGTCACCGCTACCATTGTGCATGTTGAAGGGACCGAGCGATGAGACCATGGTGGCTGGAACGGGCAAGAGCAATGCCACCGTTGTCACGAGCGTTGTGCCGGAAAGTGATAGCGAGGCATTCTTCCAGTCGATGGCCGACTCCTTACCGGGAGAAATGCAATCGCGCGTCTTCTTCGATACGGTTGAGACGCTGAACACATGGGATGAGTGTGTGGAACGCGCCAAGGCGGAGGTTGGGCTCTCGCCCAAGAACGCAGGTGACCTGGTGGTGCTGGGCCGAGGTCAGCGAGGCATGTCGTATGAGGGCACCGATGTCTCGAAAGGGGATGTTGATCAAAGCCTGAGTCATATGAGCAAGGCTCTGATCAGCGGCAACGTCAAGGCTAGCATTTTGGTTATCCAAGCGGTGCGGAAGGGGTACTAGGGTTGCATGGCTGCATTCGTCCGTTCTGGGGGGTAGCAGATGTTGCATGCATGTTTATTGTGGAGAAATGTTTCGAGGAGAGTGATGTACTGTATTTACGATGGTCACAATCGTCTCTCTCAAGTCTCGCGTCGTACACTATTATATACAGCGGAGAGTTGAACATTTCGCGTGGCATTGATTTTTCATCACCCTTGGTGCTTTACACCAAGCAAATCCGAACTATTTATTCTACGGAGTGCTCGGCTATTTTGTCTCTCATTATAAAGTATTCTTTAATTTTCTGGGTGACATTTATCACGCTCATGGCACTGCAGCCAGTAAGAGCCTAGAGTACTGCTAAGATTAAGGTACCTACTTGTAAGGTATGACCTGGAAAAGCTCGGACCCCGCGATCAACGTGCTAAGGCAGCGGCCCGTTCCTAGGCTCGAGCAAGATAGTTAGCTTGGGGGCACGTTCTGCTTGGCATCCGCTTGTACTGTTTGTAGAACATCTAGATCCCTACCACCAGTCGTAGAAATGATACAGGACCCGAGCAGCCGAAAATTGCCCGACGTTGCGTGTGTCTGGTCGACCGTCGATACCAATATTATTGTACCGTCACCATATCGGCTCGGCCGAGGGTGGGGGTTTGTACGTTGCATGTACGCCTGGGTTTTCATTGGGCCAAAAAATGCCGCAACATTTGGATTTTCCCCGAAGGCACCCCACGTGCTGCTGCAGCTTTCCAAACGAATTTTTCCTAAAACTGTTCACCGTTTTGGCCCTGTTTCTCGACTGCGTGATGCACTGATACACTGATACACCAACCTTGATCCGGTCGTGGTGCAGGGGGCGCAGTCATCAATGGGCGTTGTAGATTATGCCCGTCGCTGTAAGAAGTGATGCATTTCATAGGCCGGAAGATGTGGTCGGTGGAGCTGGACCCTGACCCTGTCTTACTTTTCTTTGTCTTATGGAAGGCTTAACAATCTTGCCCTGTCTCTCTTTTTCCTTCTTTCCATTCCTTCCATCCATCATTCCCCGCGGGCCCCGCTATCCTATCTCCTTTCCACCTCTCGGTGTTTGTTTGTGTACATAGAAAAACCCAATCATGCAAACACTTCCCCCCTATCGTCAAGTCACATCCACATCGCTCATGATGCGGTCGATCGCATCCCATCCGTCGGCACTGGTGCCTACGCGCACCAGCAGCGGTTGGAAAAGCCGGGCTTGAGCAGGTATAGCACGGAGGAGAAGGAAGTCGAGGAAGAAGAGGATGGGAGGGATGTGAGGAAGAAGCAGGTACGCTGACTCTATCTCACATCTGACCACCTCTCGCTGACACCGAGCCCCAGACTTTCCGAGGCAAATACCTCTTCTGGTACGTCCCTCGATCCCTCCCGTCAGGCTTCCTCTTTCCACAACCCATGAACCCAGTCGACTTGTTCCCCTTTACCGATCTAACATCTCCCTCCCCTCCCTTTAGGCTCGCGTACCAATCCATTGGCGTCATCTACGGCGACATCGGCACCTCCCCCCTCTACGTCTACTCTTCAACCTTCAGCTCCGAGCCCAGCCGGGATGACCTCCTCGGCGCGCTCTCCTTGATCATCTGGACCTTGACGCTGATGGTTAGCGTCAAGTATGTTACCATTGTCCTCAGGGCGGATGATGAGGGTGAGGGGGGGACGTTCGCTGTCTATAGTTTGTTGTCGAGATATGTATGTGCTCTTGTCATCTTTGTGGTTGGGGAAGTAGTACGGAAGGGGGAGGGGAGGTGTGAGGAGCAATGCTAATACGGTGATGGTGTCATAGGCAAATATCGTGAGACGCGATCCAAGAGAAGAGAGGGGCATCAAGATGGAGAGGGTCAAGACTAATGAATTGAGCCCCGGCAGCAAGTCTGCGAGGAATTTCATGGAGAGGAGTGCATTCATGAAGGCCTTGTTGAAGGTTGTGGGGGTGTTGGGAGTGTCATTGGTCATGTCCGGTATGTTGAAAGGGCCTTTGTTGGTCTGACGGGACTGACCGTATCTTAGATGGTGTCCTCACCCCAGCTCAATCTGTTCTGGGTGCCATTCAGGGGTAAGTAGTCTCTCTACGCTCTCTTCGGCTCGCTATACCTGGGTATTGAATCAAGCTCGCAGCCTGGAAATCGTCAAGTCTGACATCTCCTCATCCACCATCGTCGGTACGACTTGTGCTATCTTGATCTGCCTTTTTCTCATTCAGCCTCTGGGTACATCCAAGATTGGAAGTGCTTTTGCGCCAATTGTCATCATTTGGCTGCTCTTCAATCTCGCCTTTGGCATCTACGTAAGCTGCCTTCATCCACCCCCACACCTTGCCAATGAACTGACAAGCTCGGCAAGAATCTGGTCTTCTTTGACCACTCGGTCCTGAAAGCGTTCTCGCCCTACTTTGCCGGGGCATACTTTGTACGCAACAAGACCGACGGATGGCGGTCCCTTGGAGGCATTCTGCTCGCTTTCACAGGCGTTGAAGCATTGTTCGCCGATCTCGGTGCTTTTACCAGGAGGTAAGCACCGATTCCTGGCTTAGCTCGTCAATTGAAGCTTAACTGTCGTCCAGGGCCATCCAGCTCTCGTGGTTGTGCTTCGGATTTCCATGTCTTTTGCTGGCGGTAAGCTCTCTCCTATTTGACATAAATGTATGTCTTCCAATCTCTGATTCATACGCAGTACATCGGTCAAGCTGCGTATATCAGCCAGAACAAGGGTGCCTATTCCAACCCTTTCTTCAACTCTGTGCCTCCGGGCATGTTCTACCCTAGTTTGGTCGTTGCCATCCTTGCGGCTATTGTGGCAAGTCAGACTATGATCACTGCGACCTTTCAAGTAAGAGTAGCCCATGAATTAGTCGCAAATCGATCATCGGAACACTGACTCTTATTTAGCTGTTGTCCCAAATAATCAAGTTGTCATACTTCCCACAAATCAAAATGAAACACACATCGAGGATCTTCCACGGTCAAATCTACATTCCGTGGGTCAATTGGATTCTCATGGTCGGCACGATTTGCGTCACAGCGGCGTATAGCAATGTGCGCACCTATCTCTTTGCCGATTGCCCCATCTTTCTCATCACGCAACGAAGCTGACCCAGATCAACCACTAGACAACGAAGCTCGGAGAAGCCTACGGCGTCTGCGTCATCCTTGTCACCTTCATCACCACCTGCATGGTGTCCCTCGTAGCCTTGATCATCTGGCGCCTGCACTTCCTGATCGTCGTCGCCGGTTTCCTGGTTTTTGGCACCCTCGACGGTCTCTATCTCTCATCTGCTCTCACAAAGGTCCCCAACGGCGCTTGGTTCACGCTTTGTCTCGCTATTCTATTGTCGAGTATCTTCGTCCTCTGGCGCTACGGGAAAGAGAACCAATGGCGTGCCGAAGGCGAGGATAGGATCTCTCCTAGGCAGCTACTGACGGAATTGCCAAAGGATGCGGAAAAAGATGGTGATGCACCTATACTGCGCCTCTCGTCCAGTATGGGTGGTGCGCCCGTCAGCCGGCTTCGAGGCGTGGGTATCTTCTTCGATAAGACAGGCAGTCCGAATGGTACTCCGTCCGTCTTCATCCACTTCTTGCAGAAATTCCAGGCTGCCCCTGCCGTCGTCGTATTCTTCCACATCCGACCTCTCTCAACCCCGACGGTAGCGCCCGAAGACCGTTTCAGCGTATCCAGATGTTTCACGCGCACCAGCTCGAAGAGCACACTGCAGGACTTCTACCGTGTCACCATCCGCCACGGCTACGCGGACGAAGTCATAACCAGCGACCTCGGTCTCCTCATCTACGAAAACATCCGCAAATTCATCATCCACGACCGCGGCATGTCCACCGCACCTACCCCCTCACCCGAGTCCAACAACTCCACCTCCGAAGACTCCACCTCCTCTTCCGACCCCCCACCACCGCCCCCTTCAACATCTCAGCCGAGTCCGCAAACACCAGCAAACAGCAACACGTCCGCCAAGCCCTCGCTTCCTTGCAAGCGGCGTACGATGACCAGGTCGTGCACATCGTGGGCAAGGAACAGATGCGTATCCGCGAGGTGCGGGGGTGGGGCAACGTGAGCGGCATGTCCAGGAAGATCGTCCTCGCGGCGTTCCTGTGGTTGAGGAGTAATACGGGCAGTAAGGTGGCGAATATGAACCTCGATGTCGAGAAGTTGGTCGAGGTGGGGTTTGTAAAGCTTATTTGACAGGAAGAGGGTGGGATGAATTGAAGATTTTTTCGCGCACGCTGGGTGGATAGGTTGGAAGAGTGATACGGCCTCTTGTTTCGATTGGTTGATTGATTGATTGATTGATTGATTGATTGATTGATTGATTGATTGATCGATCGATCATTGATTCATTGATTCATTCATTCCGTGTGATTCAAACCATCGAGTCCGTGAAAATTACAACTCCAAAACTATTCATACATGTCCTCACGAAAATCCCCTCTCTCGATCCACCATCCATGACCCCTCCCTCCCTCCCCCCTCCATCACCAGCCAACTTGCCCCCTTTTTTTTTTTTGGATACAACATTACTTCCCCCAGCTTCCGATCCGATCCGATCCGCGCACCGAGACGTCGGCGACGCCGACGTCCCCGTTCGAATCTCTTCTCGGGGCTGTCTCGGAGGGGTTGGAGATTTGTCTGTCTGTGGGGGTTTGGCATGTTGATTTGGATTTTGGGAGGGTGAGGGCGGGGTGAGGGTGTGGAGGGGTGTGGGATGAGGGATGAGGGATGAGGGATGAGGGATGGGGATTGGGATTGGGACCCTTTTATCATCTCTCCCCTTCTATCAACTCTCCGTGTCTTTTCTCTCTGTGTCTTTTTCTCTTTTCCTTTTTCTCTGTTCAGTTTTTTTCTTTGTTGGCTTTTTATCGGTGTCTTTTTTCTCGGTGTCTTTTTTCTCTGTGTCTTTTTTTCTCTTTTGGCTTTTTCTCTGTTGGCTGTTTCTCTTTCGGTTTTTTTCTGTTTTGGCTTTTTCTGTTTTCTGTTCTCGCTTTTTCTCTTTTGGCTTTTTCTCTTTTGGTTTTTTTTCCGTATCTTTTTTCTCTTCTGGCTTTTTCTCTGCTCGCTCTTTCTCTTTTCGCTCGCCTTTTCTCTGTTCGCTTCTTCTCTGTTGGCTTTGTCTCTTTTCGGTTTATCTCTTTTCGGTTTGCCTCTTTTCGGTTTGCCTCTGTTCGCTTTTTTCTGTTGGCTTTTTCTCTTTTGGCTTTTTCTCTTTTGGCTTTTTCTCTTTTGGCTTTTTTTTTCGCTTTTTCTCTTTTCGCTTTTGCTCTTTTGGCTCTTTTGCTCTTTTAGCTTTTTCTCTTTTGGCTTTTGCTCTTTTCGTCTTTTTTTCTCTTTTGGCTTTTGCTCTTTTCGTCTTTTTTCTCTTTTGGCTTTTTCTCTGTTGGCTTTTGCTCTTTTGGCTTTTTCTTTTTTGGCTTTTTCTCTTCTCGCTTTTTCTCTTCTATTATCTTCTTTATATCTTTTTCTCTTCTCGCTTCTTCTCTGTTCGCTTCTTCTCTGTTCGCTTCTTCTCTGTTCGCCTCTTCTCTGTTCGCTTCTTCTCTGTTCGCTTCTTCTCTTTTCGCTTCTACTCTTTCCGAACACGACGTCGCGCTCGCCCTCAGCGCCGGTCTCATCGAATCCGAAGAGAAGGTTACGGATCGACCAACCATCCAAGAGTGATCTCGGCCTCGAGTACCAGTACCATGCCCAAACCACGCCGGTGCCACATCCTCATCGCCACCGTGAGGGGGTAGCTACAACGCACTACGGTGCTGCGGCATGCTTTCCAACAGACGGGTCCAAACGCCGACGGTACGGCGGTGACATCGCCCCTGGATATCTTCGAAAGCTTGAACGGGGACGTCGTCGGCGGAATCACACGCCGGCTTTTCGGCTAGCGGGTGGCCGGGGAGAGTTTTCTAGGCTGCTAGATCTAGGACGGCTCCTATCGGCGAGGACTTTGGGTCGCTGACTGGGAAATAGGACCTTTCGCAGAACTTGATTTGGGATGGAACGGGTTTTTTAATGGGAGCTTCGGAAGGGTGAGAGATTTCCGTGACCCGCTCGGTTTTCGACAAGGCCGGCTGGCGGCACGGCGGGCGAGGACGAGCGCGCTGTTTGATGGTGTGTGTCGCAGCGGCAAGGGGACGGCGTGGGTCTATGTTTGCGGTGACTCTAGCCCGGTACTCGGGCTGATATCTACGACCAAACACTGATTTTGTCTTGTTATTTTGGGTGAAGAGGTGATGGAATACCTGGATTGATTTAATGGTATGCGACAGGGATTTAGTGGAGAGATATCCGTGCCGTATTTTCCGAGTAATTATGAATTGCAAATTAAATAATTAGCGTTCCAAAAAACCTCTTCTTGCGACGAGAGGAACAAGAATGAAGAGCAAGAAACGGGGGGACACCGCCTATTCAAGGCTCTTCCAACATGGCAATCTCGGCTATCCTGCCATAAGTGTGTGCTGTGCCTCTCCTCATCACTAGCCCCCAGTCAAGCTGTGGCGATTAAATAATTAGCGTGTGCAGAAAACGTTGGAATACTTGGCACTGAGATTTTTCCAAACACCCCACAAAAGTAGTACTGAGTAGATGAATCTTCTCCCATATCGCATTCTACCACCTTCCTCATCATATTTGAAGCTCCTGTATATCTCGCTTAGCCGATCCTTGGTGTTTTGCCTTAGTTTTTCGAAATGCTTCCCAATCAACGCAGTCAGGGGCCCCCCCCCCAACCTCCCCTCCGGCCAGACAGTCCAAGAGGCCTAAGAAGGCGTCCTCCCGTGCCCAAGCGATTGCTGAGGATAGCCAGCCGGGCCCCAGCAACAGTCAGCCAAGCGCAGCTACCCCCGCTCCCAGACCTGAAGGCCCTCATGCCAAAGCCGCCCGTGAACGTGCAGCCCTGGAAGACAATTGGCTAAGCGAGATATACAGGAGCTTCAAATATGATGAGGAAGGTGGTAGAATGCGATATGGGAGAAGATTCATCTACTCAGTACTATTTTTTGGTGGGGTGTGTGTGAGAATCTCAGTGCCAAGTATTCCAACGTTTTCTGCACACGCTAAAAGAATGCTTGGCAAAGCTGATTCAGCTCCGCCTCCGACTTTTTGTTAGCGCCATTCATAGAAAATTGTAGAGAACGTACTTGCCACTCTTGTACCAGCTCATTCCATATTTTTGAAGCTTCTGTATAGCCCAAACACGAATACGGTGGTGTTACAATGCCTCGGAAAACCGTTAATTTTCGTTAAACGGCCAAGACGGCCACCAATGATCAGGGACCCTCTGGATCTGGAGAAGGTCATAGAGAAGGTGGAGGATTTTGATTGATATTACGTAGTACTTCATTGTAATTACTCTGTTATCTCCATAGTCAAATGCCTTAATTTCGCCGTCAAATATGTAGCCTGCAGTGCTCTGCTTGAAATGCTCTACCGCAAATCTATCACAGCTAGTGACTTCAGCCTGTTTCAGAGCCCTGCAGACGGTGGACTTGTGGACCTCGACATCCCACTGCTCTTTCAAGAACCGCGCCAATTCGTCTTGATACAGCCACGGTTTTTGACGCTGGTAGTTAAGAAGAGCGTCTAAAGCAGCAGGTGAGAGGCTGCGGCATCGCCCTTGTGTATATGTACCTATCACGAGGGATCATTAGATAGGTCCCTCCACGACCAAAACACTGATTTTGTCTTGTTATTTTGGGTGAAGAGGTGATGGAATACCTGGATTGATTTAATGGTATGCGACAGGGATCCGGTGGAGACATTCCCGTCGGCTAATTTTCCAGTTTTTTATTGATAAAGGCGTCTTTGGAGTTTACTTACCGCGGTGACTTCCGGGCACGCACTTTGTGTGAGATGGTTTTCTAATTAGAAATATTAGACATCAATTGACTCCTTTCGGGTCAGCCGTGGCATGGGGTCGGTGTCATCCAACATTCTATTCCCATATATCAAGCCGTCTCTTCCCTGGGGGGTCTTACGTACCCACACCTCGAATACGATTTAGGCCGGGCGTTGAGTGCACATATTTGGATACTACGCCTCGTGAAAGTCCCTCGAATGTTTTGACACAGTGGAAGCCAAGCCAGTACCACTTACTCAAACCCGATCTTTCGAAAGAAGAGGTATCGACATGACGTGTTCGAAGCGATCAATATCCTTCACTCCGATTACCGCGGCCCTTCCTGGACATACTTCTCCTCTGGACGCATCGTGGGCGTCGAGTCTGTTGAGGTGATCGTCCCGCGTCTTGAGAGGATGCTGGTACACTCTCTGTATGGATCTTTTGTTCGACGGGAACGAGCAGCTTTCAATCCAATGGGACCATCACGGCGCGCACACTCGGCAGGACACCTCTGATCGCTTTGACGGCGAATATACCCCTTTCGCTCCGCTGTTGCCGGGGATGCTTGCGTCTGGTCTACTGCATCTTTGCAAAATTTCTGTTAGATAAGTGTAGCAGGCTCGGTCAAGATGGATATGCTGTATTTTTTCGCCGAAGGATTTGCGGCGTCGTACCACTGGATTTACGACGACTGAGATATTTGTCATGACCCCGGCAGTTGTTCAACCCTGCGAGCACGTTCTCAACAAAGGCTTAAAAATATCCCTACTCTTCGGGGTTTTTGGTGTCATGCAGCCACTGGCCTTTTGGCATTGCGTCCAAAAAAGCTCGAGTCAATCAAAGGTAGATGGATGGCTTCATGGCTTGCTTTTACTCTGGTATCCTTCCCGTACGGGTACATGCATTATCCGCAAGCAGCAATTTTTGAAGGTGTTTCTACTGCGCTCTAGCACTTGCGTTTCTTTGATAACTACTTGGGATGCTAGCACCGGACTGGACTGGGCGACCCATTAACATTAGTTCCTTGGATTGGAAAGAGATCCGTTTCCCTTTCTTCACCGGAACAAGGAATCCAAGAGAGTCCGAGCAGTTCTAAAGTTTTGGAAGGATACAATTGGGTGTGTTTTAATCAAATCAGTAGCCAAGGATACCGGTACGATAACGAGTCATCTCATGCAACAGTGCTTCCTACGTCGACTCCTGTGATCCTTCCGGGGTGTCCTCGAAACAGAATATGCACAAGAGGCTCTTCGGGAAGTTAGAGGAGAGGTGGTGAGGTATGGACTCTTGAGTGTGTCGGTGGTTTGCGAAGGCTGAGTCCGCGCGTCCGTGGTGGGGGTTTTGGCAGGGCTCGTTC